AAGAAAGGGGGTTAAATACAAAGTCATACTTTGTGACTTGCTAGTTACAGCAAAAATTCCATGAGTCCCAAGGAAAGCTCTCAGATGAATGGATTTTACCCAAGGTGGCTATTTGAGGTTCCTAAAGAAAATGGTGACCCCACACCATCTCTGTCCTGTCATCTGTCCCCACACAGACATCCCTTCTCCTCTTCCACCTCCTTGCTCCTGAATCTGCAAGAGGAATGCAGTCCAAAACTTTTGTGCATCCTCAGACCTCTGCTGGGATTGTGTGCAGCAAGTTATGGAATGAGAAACCTGTTTCACATGTTTCTGTATAAGAACACCAGGGAAGCAGGCAGAAAACCTTATGGGTTTTCTTATGGGTCCACCCACCCACCCAGCCAGGCAGCCAGCCAGCCAGCCAGCCACCCATCCATCCATTCATCCATCTAGTTCCCCTGGGAATGTGTGGACCAATTCTAAGGCAGATGCCTGTGCTTCCTATGTGGGGAGGTGCTGCAAAGAGGAGGAATCATTAGAAGGGAGGGCCAGTACACTCATGTCTGTGGGTGGGTCTACCTGATCCCCAGGCAAGGGAAGAATTTAACTCGTTTGGTTTATTTTTGTTGGATCAAAGCATTAGATGGCAAACATGACATAATTCTCTGTGCACAGTCAGTGATACAGAGGGAAATGTTTTTCTTTCTTACTGTGCTCAGAATCACAAAACTTCCTAACAGAAAGAGCATCCGCACTTCCAGTACAGACATCACACAATAAGCATGTCCTTCTGCCTTAGCTGATGTCCTTGACAATTTTCTCCTACATCCACCTTTCCTGGAATAGATTACATTTGATCATTCAACCTAGAATCTTCCCATGTGGGTAGATCCTTCCATCTGCAGCCCTAACCTGAGGAGGCCTCACCCTGTGACAATTTTCACCATCTTAATGAGTCCCATTTGCCTGTGTCATTTTTGTTGGGTTCATGACTCATGCCAAGTACATTTACTTGGTGTTTTTGGCCTGATGAGTGCCCAGATTCTAAGCCACTTAACTATTTCCTGCCTGGTTTGAGAAGATTAGTGTTGTCTCATTGCTGCCAGCATCCTGCTGCCATGTTCTGTCCTGTATCCAAAAACCCAGATTCCTTTTCAGCTTGCTGCCAAACACACACACTCACTCACATGAAGCATGCAGAAAGAGGGAAAGATAAAGGGAGAGAGAGACAGAGACAAAGGCACAGACAGGACAGACAGGAGACACAGACAGATACATAAACAAAGAGATATACACACCCAGATACATGCACACAACATTGATCTTAACTCCTGAACAAATAACCTCTACAATACTGGAAGGTGAGGGCTGGAGAGTGGCTCCACTGTTAAGAGCACTGGCTGCTCCTGCAGAGGACTCAGGTTCAATTCCCAGCACCCACATGGTGGCTAACAACTGTAACTCCAATTCCAGGGGAACTGAAGCCCTCTTCTGACCTCCATGGCCATTGCATGACACAGGTGCACTCACATACATTCAAGCAATATACTTATACACATAAAATAAAAATAATAAATGAAATACTTTTTTCAAAATACTGGAAGGTGAGAGACACTGAGAGACAGAGACAAAAGACACACACAGAAAGAGATACACCCACAAAGAGATTTACACATCTAGATTATACACTCAGATACATGGCACACATACTGATCCTAACTCCCAAACAAATAACCTTTACAATTCTGTAAGGTGTGTGTGTGTGTGTGTGTGTGTGTGTGTGTGAGAGAGAGAGTGAGAGAGAGAGGGAGAGACAGAGACAGAGACAGAGAGACAGAGACAAAGAGAGAGACAGAGAGACAGAGACAAAGAGAGAGACAGAGAGACAGAGACAGAGAGACAGATAAAGAGAGACAAAGAGAGAGACAGAGAGACAGAGACAGACAGATAAAGACAGAGAGAAAGAGACAGAGAGACAGAGACAGAGAGACAGAGACAGATAAAGACAGAGACAGAGAATAGAGTTACATACACAAAATGATATACATGTATATACCCAGATACCTGAACTCATATTGACCTTAACTCTTGAACAAATAATCTTTACAATACTGGAAGGAGAGAGAGAGAGAGAGAGAGAGAGAGAGAGAGAGAGAGAACACAGAGATACATGCACAAAGAGATATACCTATCCCAATACAAGCACATGCATTGACCTTAACTCCTAAACAAATAACTCACAATACCAGAAGGTGAAAGTTTGATTCTTTCCTTGATGCGCACAAGGCAAAGGGGGGGAAGCCGTTTTGAAATGTTTTGTAAGAAGGAACACTGCCTCTTAAATTATTTTTTTCAGTTTTTAATTCCCTCCCTTAAAGGCGTCCTGCACACGAAGGTCCTCTGAGGGTTTGTTTTTCATCAGAAACCAAAGTGCTGGCTACTGGCTGTACATTTGTGAATAACAGGGTGTGAAAAGAAAGAATTTTAATGGAAATTAACTTGTAAAGGTCGTTCTTTTCTGCCTCTCCTGGGGATGGCCCACATACCACAAAAAGTTTCGGTCTCAGATGTTGAGTTTGCTGTAGACTCTCATTAAGTATCTCAAGGACTCACATTCAAAAGAGCCATGTCTGGGGCTCAGGTCACTTCAGAGAAACCCCAGGGAGGACAAGTGTGCTCAGGCTCTGCTGTCACTGATGCTGCCTTCTGCCAGCATATCCTGTCGTGTTCTGAGTGGCCTCCATATGGATGACCAGGATTGGCCAGATGAAGGGGACTTTCACAGGGCTCCATCACCCTCCACTGCGCTCACTCTGTGCACATAGCTCGTGGGGTGTTAGGTGCCTGTGATATCAGTGATATTCCCCATCACATCTCCTCAGATCAGAGCAGGACATCACTGATATTTTGATGATGTGCCAGGTTTTTATTTGAAACCCAGAACTTTACAGTTTTCCAATACTCAAACTAACTTTTATGGCCTGCAAAATACTTTTCTCTGAGAATTTTGGTAACCCTCATGAACTGGAGACAAGGGACTAGAAGCACCTCCAGAGACATTCCATCTATCACCACAACACCAGCAGTCTTCACCCAAACCTCTCCGGATGGAGGCCGGTGAGCATCCCGTTTTCACAGGTCATCAGGACAGTGATTGCACTCGCACTCATGGGTAGCTCATCCCAGGACAGACTCCCTTCCACACCGTCATGATCTTTGCAGCACACACACACACACAAAAAAAAATGTTCCATGCCAGACTCTATGAGCTTTAAAACCCCAGATTTGAATATTCAGGGCCAGATGTCACAAAGCATCCTGATTGTCGGCACACTGTTCAGTTGTTATTGAAAAACTCCATTTCAAACCAGATATTGACATCCACCCTTGGGGTCGGACCCAGTCACACAGCTTTCATTTTACAGTAAGTTCTTGGTTGGCAATCCCCTTAGGATCCCTGACATCTTGGATCTGGCCATTGTTAAAGGGGAGGCTCTGCAGGTGTCCTGTTGGTGTTCCTGCTCCTTGAAATCACCACCAATCCTGTTTCTTTGTGTGAGCAGGACAGAACCACCAGGAAAAGCAAGCCCTGTGCTTCCTGGGAGCACTCACTTCAACTTACACACAAAACTTTAGGACATTAGTCCACTCCTTTGGTGTTTACAAAGGGAGGCTTTAAAGAAGTCCTGTCCCTGGCTTTCCCATTCTGCAGCGTAGACAGGAACACCGATGGTCCCTGTGAGGTCCAGTTACATTTTGGCACATGATGATCCACAGGGCCTTCTACAGTTTGGAGCAAAATATGTGCCTTCTTTTCTTTGAGCTAAATTTCCCTTGGCAAAGGGGAAAGTCAGAGGGACTGGACAGAGCGTGAAAAACCTGACCCAAGAAATAGTGCGAACCTTCAGACAAGACACAGGTCCAGAGAGGCCGTGCACACAGTCACTGTCGGAGATCCAGGGCCTGAAATTGACACCATATGCACTGGAGAGGTGATTGCTCCAAGCGGGCAGGGGGGAGGGAGAAGCCACATGTCAGAACATTTTACTAACACCTAATTCATCCTGAGGTTATAAATAAATATGATGCTCCCTTAAAAACAAAAGTTGAAAAATCTTTAACTAGATTACTTCTGTGACAATCCTTCAGGCAGAAGTGAACTTTATTAGGGAGACAACAGGAACAAAGAGAAACACATAACAACTTTTATGGTATATTTTACGTGATTTTATTTTTTTGCAGTAAATAAAGTGGTTATAGGGCTCCAAGGAAAAGGACCCAGATGTTAGAGAGTTGTGTGAAACTTAGGGGAAACAAGCTGTAAAAAACACAGTCATAAAATAGGCTGTCAGTGCCACACATCTGGACAATACAGCTGTATGTTCCTAGCGGCTGTCGTCACCCAAAGAAAACTCAATAACCTCATTTCACCCCAATTAGGCTGCATACCAACAGGATCAACATGAAGTTGCAAGACGGTGCAACAGTCGTAAGGCGCCTCTGTGTCAAGCAGCTTTTATCTTTCATTTGAATTTGGTCGCCAAGAAATAAAAGACTGCCAACATAGTCGTTTCCACTATTAAAAACCCTGATTTAATTTATAATGTCCTAATAAGTCAAAGTTTGACAGTTTGGACTACTGGCTAGGCCAAACAACAATAGACTTTCTGTAGCATGAAAGTGACCTGCCAGTCACTCCACATGGAGCCCTGCCTGTGTCTCCTCAGCACGTTTCTGGGAGTCTGAGTCTAGCACCATTGTGCAAAGTGCACGTGGCCTCATTGGAAAAGATGTTGATATTCAGATGACCCAATCTCAGTGGTGTTGGGACATTTCATATATATATATTTCATATATATATATATATATATATATATATATATATATATGGCAATGAGATGTCTCAGCATTAAGACAAGTGTTACAAACATCCAGCACCCTGTCATCTTTTCATCACTGATAAACTGTGCCAAAGGTTATAAAACATCACATTTCCTAATAATTGTGTTTCTTTATAGGTGTTATTGGCAGCAAAAACAATTATGGACAGTGGAGAGAAACTAACTTTACCACTGATAGGGAAACTCTTGAAATGTCAACTTCTCCAGGTTAAATTAAAGGACCAGCAGAGACGAGAGAACGAGAAGAAGGTATGTATGAGGTGTGGGTTGTTCCAGCCTGGCCAGCAGCACACACTGGGGAAGCATCTCCTCCTTCCTAGGTCACTGTGAAGTGTGACTGGGCAAAGCCAGGAGTCATCCCAACTCCTAGGGAAAGGTTATCCACAGATATGTTGGAGAAATTATGATAAGTACATAAAAAATATGCCACATATTTTTACATGTGAAAAGGGGCGATATTCAGAGCATGTGATTATGGTTGTTTTCATGGTAAAATCTTTATATAATTGTAGCTAAAAAGGAACTCAGAATTAGAAGTTAATATAGAAAATAAGGTGAGGGAGGACTTTCAAGTCAGGATCTAACTATGTAAATTACCTGATATTCAATAGGAGTGCTTATAAAAATAGTAAGCACATCTGTCCCATTGTGATAAAGTACCCATTTCAGCAGCCATCCATCATCTCTGTTTTCAAGTCATCTGTCTGATAAGTTTTCACATGTGGCTTTTCCGTTTAATTTGCCTATAGAAATCAATTGGTGTGCTTTTTTTTTAAATTCACATTTGCATCTGAAAAAATATTTTTAAATACTTTTAGCAAAGTGATGCCAGGTTCAAATCCATTTGCTATGATCATTACTTAGGATGAAAAATGCTTTTCTCATTTTTCAAATCATGCTGAAATATTTTTGTGATGCCAAATGCTTCTATGCATACATGTCTAACGTGTGTGTGTGTACATGTGTCTATGAAATAGACTTGCATGTGAGTCGTTTCTTTATGATCTTAGGTGGAAAAGTCAGAAAACAATTCATGGAAAAAAGAAAAAGATATTCCCATACTTTTCTTTATCTTTCCAAGATCCTCAACTCTAAGTATCCCATTTGAATTTAGCGTCTGATGGAATAGCTGTGATAATAATAACTATGATGATGATGTCACTTGGTACTTGCCACACAGGGCTTTGTGTTTTCCTAGGAGCTCCCCACATGGCATTTTATCGGGGTGACACACTGTACCCAGGAAAACTCTGTTCATAGAAAGTTGGAGTTACAGTTTTCCATCTACCTAAACTCTTCCCATGATATATAATAGATTTGTACCTTGGGAAACACTCTGAGAAGAATTAGAAGAAGAAATGGGAGAATTTGAAACTAGTATCACATCCCTTCTTGCCTGTTTAAATTCCAGAGTCATGTGGGAGTCTGAATTACAAAAGTAGTCTGGGAGGGAGGGAAAACCCTGCTCTGTCTGTGAACTGTGTTTGCCCATGGCATCAACAAACAGCATGATGAAGACTGACCCTCTACTCATTTGCCACCGGTTATAATTCAGTAATTGTTTACCACAGCAGTTGTGGATTTTAGAAAGCAAACTTTAAAAATATCCTAGTAGCTGAAGAGTTTTTTAAGCATAAAACTATATGAAAATATTCCTTTACTAGTCTTTTGATGACATTTCTTTGAATTGTGAATTAGATTTAGGTTGTTATGAGATTCTGAAGATATAGAAATAACCTTAATTTACTTGTTGAAAATTTGAGTGTCCTAAGGAACCAGCTTGAACTTGAGGTATTGAAGAAAAACATTAGATTCAGTAAAATCACTCTGAGCAATTAAGAATGAACAATTGCATAATCTAATGCAATGTCTTTATTACTTGGGGTTCCCAGGGTTCCAGCCCTGTGTATGTGAGTTAAAACCATCTGTGTAGGTGCTTAATAAATTGGTGAAAACTGATTGGAATGGCGTGCTCCCCAGAAAGTCCTCCTGGTAAAGGCAGGTGAAAGGAGTTGTTCGCAGGATGAGGTAATCTGTGTTCGTTTCAGCAACGCTGCCCAAGAGGTCACTTGGAGCAACTGAGGTTAATGCTTGTCAGCTAGAAGTTTGGCAAAATGCAAAGAATGTAAAACCCATACTGTGCTACAGCTAATCAAAGCAAAGACAAAAAGGGAAGGGGATTCTGCCGCAGCGCACAGGTTGACAGTCTTCAGCTCCCCAACCCCGTCAAGAAACCTACATGAAATGCTCTTTTCCATGCAAATGACAGCATATTGTTACATCTGTACAGCCTCAAGAATGTTTTGTACCTTCTGCACTTAACTTTTGGAAATGAATTTTTTAAAGAATGACTGCCTTAACAAATCCATAGCAGTTATTATAGGAAAAAATTAAGGCAAAGATGATGGCACAGAGAATTAACATAATTAGGTGCCTGACTTCTTGACCCCACGGAATAAATACAATGTGTCACTACATATTTGACCCTGTTTTAATCAATCAAAATTTTCTTTAAAAATAAATGTTAAATAGTAGTCTTACCTGCCATATATCATAAAGGTATTAATTTAGAATCAGTTAAATTTAAGAACTTATTAACAGTTGAATGTTGGCTGTTGCTTTTGCCTTCTGCTTTTAAAGAAAACATGCTAGATAATATGTTTAAAAATATAAGGACTAGATATTTCAAGAAAAATTTTAAAGCATTCAGCATGCAAATTTCTGATGCACAAATGGCAGCTTCTAATTATAAATAGATTGAACCTATTTGAAAACATCTATCTGTTTGGAAACACTTTATTAATTAGTTCCAGATATATGTATATATTTTCTATTATATAAATATTTTAAAATTTCAGAACTTCCTTGACTATCTCACATAATAACCACAAATTTGATTTTTATAATACCTTAAAATTTGAATGGGAATGTTTTGCTCAGAAACGAGTTTTCCTTACACCACCATCTCAACAATCACTCTGCAGTTTTAGTCCTATCATTATCAATCTGTTGCTAATTTATTAACTCAACAGTTAATTAAACAAACATTTATGGAAACAATGATGTACTCTCATACCATTCCTTATGATGCTAACAAATTGCTTGGTTTCTGTTCTGAAACCTGTTTTAATTTAGCTATTATATAAACTTTTCATTTTCACTCATTTTGGGCTTTTAATTAGTTCCAATTTTTATGATACATATTTGCTCCGAACACTTAATTATGAATGATAATGTCTCAGTTATATTGAGAATTAAACTAAAAAGAAAACAATCACAAGAAAAAAGAAAACTGATTACAATACCAAAAGATCATTGGTAATTAATATAGTTTACCAAACTACATGGAGTCTTCTGTGCTTCTGAATTGAGTTCAGAATATTTGCAAGGTCTTCTGAAAAGCTCCAAATATATTTTAACATTCTCTTAGAATTTTAGATAGCAACTCTTTTATACGAAAAGAACAGTTCTTTCTGTTTCCAGCTTATTACGAGTTGACTTTTTTTCCAATTTACCAGAACTGGGAAAACGGCAGATACAAAGAACTATGACCACATAATATTCAGCAAGTTTTTCTGTAAAACAACAACAACAAAAAATTTAAAGCAGCCTAATTTTGTTAATAAAGCATAGTGAAACCACACACAAGCCAGTACCTCCTCCAGAAGAGAAAGAGAAATAAGAGAGGCCTCCACAGACGCTCCCCAGCTTCCTCCAGCCAAAACCTCGAAGCGCTGGAGATCTGCCAGCACAATGCCATTTTGTGTGTATGTGTTTTGTTTTAAAAGAAAGGCCATAGGGACATACCAGGAAATTACAGGCTGGTTAGTTTTGATTCAGTTGTGGTTAAAATCTTCAGAAACTATTTTAAGAAATCAAACAGGGGAAGAGCAGGAACTCGGTGTAGAGGGACCCATGTGGTTCCAGGAAAGGAATAACTTGCCTCACTAACTGGCTGGAATTCTTTGAGGGAGGATTATCGAAATGGGGATATGACCGACAGAAACGGTAGATCTAAGGAATCCCAACCCCAACAATTCAGAGAAATAAATGACTCCCTGGCTGGCCTATCTGTAGAACACAGCAGTGCTTTTTCTGACGATTTGATTTTCATTAATGAAAACTTTTAACAGGCATCTAGAAAATTTTAAAGAAACACACATACTTAGAATAGAATAGCATTTTTAAACAGTTCTAGTTACAACAATAATAATGGTTAACTATTATTGACTGTTTAGCCCTGGGCTAAGTCCTTTGGACATGTTATATTGTTTAATCTTTTAAATGATTTAATGTGGTACAAAGAACCATTCCCAAGCTGCAGATGGTGAAATTAAGGGTGTGGAAAGTTGAGTAGTTCCTAAGGTCAACAGATACTTTCAGAAGCCGAGATTCAAATCCAAAACCATCAGGTTGCAAAGGTGTTCTTACCACTGTGAACATCTCTCATGTGTGTCTCGGGAACCGTAGGATGGATGGCCTCTGGGTACCCACACAGCAAGGCGCTGCCCAGTGATGTTTCCTGAGGACCAGAGGCTTTGCCTAGGGATCCATCAACAGCAATCCGGCCTTGCTAATTACTTTACACATAACATCCTGAGGTTCATTGTGGGGACTGCTGTCAAAGAAAGAAACAAAACTCACCAAAGACAAAAGCCAGTGGCTAACCAGTCACTGATACCCAGAGCAATCCGGACTTAATTTCTAATCCCTTCTTTCTTCCCAAGAGATGAGCCAGTCTCTCGTGGAAGGAGACTTTTCTGAGATTATTCCACACACCCTTGTGCCTTCTCCCTGTAGCTAGCATTAGTTTACACGATGTTAAAGTCTTCCAGAGCCAGGAATGGCCCTGCAGGAGGCAGATACTATTTATCTAACCACCACCATACACAGACACACCCACATTTTGATTCATTAAGAATGGCCTCTCATTACTAATGTCATTGTGCGGGGTTCTAAGGATTGTATTGTTTGGGGCTGGAGAGATGATTCAGCAGTTAAGAGCACTGGCTGCTCTTGTAGAGGACCCAGGTTTTGTTCCCAGCACCCATGTATCAGCTAACAACAATCCATTATTCCAATTCCAGGGGATCCAACACCCTCTTTTGATCTCTGTGGGCATTGCACAACACAGGTGCACTTACATATGTGCAGACACATAAAATACAAATAATAAAGAAAATATTTTTTAAAAGATGGTATTATTTGATCAGATGAACCAAAAACATTCCTGAGCACATACTGTCTAC